AATTTGAGTTTCTTTGATAAAATCATCTATATCTTTATTTCCACTCGTCCATATTTTTGCTTTTAACAATTTGGTGTCACAATAAGCGCACCATGCGTGCGCAGTATTCGGACCATTGCAATGCTCACATGTTCCATAATTTTTACGCCTCCTTTCATTCATTTCACTCTCTTTTTCATTTCTAAACACGGGATTCATAGTACTAGTATTATTGCTTGTCATATTTTAACTTTGATGATAATAGGAGGGAAGAATAAAGTAATAATAATAATAATAATAATAATAATAATAATAATTAATAGAAAAAATGAAATTTTTTTTTTTTTAAAAAAAAATTTTTTTTTATTTTGACGTTTGAATAAATTGAGAACGATTTATAGGAAAAACAAAACCCCCTTTGAATAATTGGATTAACATTATTCTGTAAAATAAAAAGCTTTATAACATGCACTAATGCGTCAAAAGCCACAATTAGTTATTAAATCTAAGCTTTTTATGAACCCTCAATGAGCCATTTTTGGTATCGTTTTAAAAGTCGACTTATTTATTTATATCTCAAATAGGATTTTTTTTTTTCTGGGTGATTCAATTTCTATATATATATATATATATACAGTATAGATTAATGATTATGATTTATGTTCCAATTCAATTTCAATGGAAGCGATTGGAAATGGATTTTGGTCCTCAAAGAGCTTCCATTTTTTGCAAATTTGACAAATAATGACGAAGATTGTTTATAATTTATGATGAAATCACAATTGTATTCTGGTGACACATTTCTAGGTCCTTTTTTTTTTTGAAATATGAATTCGAAAATAACCGCAGCATAATCTCGCGTCTCGTTACGGTATCAACAATAATGTTCACCATCAACTTTTGTCAACATTTCAAAATCAAAGAGAACGATGATTTTTTAAAAAAAACTTATGTAAACAGATCTGCAAACGAAGCGAATGATGCTTATTTAAACAGATCTGATCAAAATAAAAGCAACGACGTGTGATTTTGACGTAAAGAATATGCCTCTAAGAATCCTCGATCCGTAGAAACTTTTCATCAACCTCAATAAAATGCTTTTCGTGCGAATTCGTAATTACATATCCGAGATTTTTTTTTGAGGTACTTTGCGCGTTTTGCAGATTCGATTAGAGTGTTGATACGTAACAACCAGCCTCATGAAAATCTTAACAAACGGATATATCCCTTTTTATATTATAAATTCAAATAGGGAGTGAGAAAATGCATTTTTTTAAAGCTTTTTGATTTTAAACTTGACATTATAAAGAAAAAGTGAAGGAAGGTTTGTAATACAATTGCCTTGTCTATAAAATGGTGTCAATGATTTATCCAAGATTACATTGATAAAATCTACTTTTTTAATATTTTTTTCTTTCATCTTCATTTCTTTCATAAGATTCATTCAGCGTTGGACGAAAATCATACTCGTCAATGAAAAAAAATTTGGGGACAATAATAGTTGATCGAAGCACTCTCAAATTATGATATAGCTCAGTTTCCATATCCGGTAAGTCAGCTAGTACGTAATTTCGTTAAACGCATTGATTAATCAAAAGAATTAACCTTTCCTAGCGAATCGGACTTTTAAATAATAATATTAAGTGATCTTCTCCTGAATGACGTTATCATACTGTTACGCTAACTAAAATCAAAGATTACGTCACTTTGAATCAATGTTTATTACGCATGGAACTTAAACTCATCCTAAAATTTAATTTGTGTTACATAAACTGTCGTGATGATATAATGATTCAAGGTTCGGGACTAATTCATATCACAGATCCTAACCTGATTGATCATAAAGTATAAAAAAAAAAAAAGAAATTAACGGCATATATCTATTATTATAAAAAAATTATTTTTCATGCTTATCCGATTTTAAAACAAAAATTTTAGAATATATTAATATATTTTTATAATGAAAAGATGATGATAATATAAAAATAAACAAGTTATTTGATAGATGATGATAAAGTTAATAAACATCTTTTTTGTCATTTATATATAAAATTTTGCAAAGGAAATCAAATTTAATTTATTTAATTGAATAAGAAACATTATAAAAAATGATTTTGTCCTAAAGATCATAAAAATGAAAGGTGATAAAAGTAGTTCTTTAATGAGAAGAATTTACAGTAATGTTTTTAAGGTATTTATTCCTTTAGCATGCTTTAATAAACATTTTTTTAATTTTCTATAAATTGTTGGTAATAATACTTGTAAGTTTATATAATTCTTTAGCATTATCAATGTATTATTTCATGGAAATTTTTTGAAAAAAAGATTGGAAATACAAAAGTTGCAATAAATATAATGTATAAGATAATGCAAATTTGATAGATTTATTTACATAAAATAATAATCTAAAATTTTACAAAATTATATTGAATGTATTAAGTAGAATTTTTAATATAGATAGATCAAAAAAATTTGTTATATATTATAAATAGTAAAAAATACATTTAACACTAATTTTCTAATCTAAGACTAAGTTAAGAAATGCATTTAAAATAGGGTAAGTATTTATAGGTGATATATTTACAAAAAGTTATAATTTAAAAGGATATACTTTATTAAGAAAGTTGAAATTTACAAATATTATTTTATTTTATATATATTATAATTATATAAAACTGTTCTTTTCTATATAAAATATATTTATAAAAAATCTTATTTTAATAATAATAATTTGCTATTATTAATATAAATAATAAATATACAGTATAATATATTAACAATAATATTTAAATAAATAATAATAATATCATATTCTATTTAATAATTTATAATTTATAAATAAATGTGTATTAAAAAAATAATTTATAAAAAATTTAATTATCATAAAAATCTTTAATTTTTTAAATCAAGAATAAATCTATATAAATTTTATTAATTTTATTATTTAAATAAACAATGTAAATTAAAATTTTTTAATATATAGTAGTTTTATATAATCTTATTAATAGTAAAGTAAATTATAAGATTATAAATTACAAATCAAAGAGTACAAAAATTTTTATTTAATTAAGAAAATAAAACAAAAACAAATCAACCTTATATTATTTTAGACTAACCTATCTTAAATTAATTTAAATAAGTTTAACCATCTAGTATAAAAAATTTAGTTAATACTAATCTAAAAATTTGATTAGTTGATATCATACCTAAAAAAGGAAAGAAAATAAGAAGGATTTATAAGAATATGAGAATTAAAAATAGGAAAATCTGTAGTGTTATTTAGAAATTAAAATTGTTTGAAAAAATATAACTTTTTATCTAAAAGATTTTAATTTGAAAAAAGGTATAATAATATATTATAAAAGAAAAACAAATGTTAATAAATTATTATTAAAGAATTAATGAGTTTTAATATAAAAAGAATTAGGAACTATATCTTTAATAAGGTCAATAAAATTAATAATATTTTACTATAAATTAATATCTAAAATTAAGAAATAAAATTTAAAAATAATTTGTAAAATCTAGAATTAAGTCTGTTAACTTAAGAGTAGAATTATTATATAAAATGATATATATTTTAATTATGAGAATGTATTATCGTTATTACAAAAGCTAATATTTTTTTTCTAAACATTTAAAATAAAACTATACTTGATTATAAATAGTCAAGTAATGTATTTTAAGTATTTTTTAAAAAAAGAAATAATTTGAACTTAAGTATAATATATAATTTCTAAATTGAAAAATTTTCATAAATATGTAAGAAGTTTGTTTATTATTATTAAGAATAAATATAATACAAATCTAATTAATATCTAATAATTAATATTAGTGGGATACCACGCTTTAACTTAATTAAGTTAAAGCGTGGTATCCCACTTAAACTAGGTTATAGTATCACGTTATAATCTAAATACCATGCTATAGTCTGAATATCGCGTTATAATCTAAATATCACACTATAATCTAAATATCACACTATAATCTAAATATCACACTATAATCTAGATATTACACTTAAATCTAAATATCACAATATAACCTAAATACCATGTTATAATCTAACGACTACAACCTAATCACCACGCTTTAATCTGAATACATAACCTGGCTACCACTTTTTAATCTACCCCTTTTATTTTAATGTTACCGCTGTTCGCATTCTAGTTATATATTTATACCTTTCTTAGTATTTGTATTTTTCTCATATGTATGATTTTGTTACCGCATTATAATCTAAATACCACCACGCTTTAACTTAACTACCTCTCTTTTCTTCCTATTTCTACTCCATTTGTAATTTAAGTTATATATTGATGATACTGACCTCCTGCGTCTGATTGGATGTCAAATTCTATATTAAAGTACTCACCTTTTGCGTCTATTTAGTTGCCTTTCTAGGTGCCAAAGTAGTGTAAAAAAAAGGAAAAAAATACAGAATAGTGTCGGCCAGAATGTTGAAATATGGTAAAAAAATTCTAAATTATCACAGGATATAAAAAGCATTAACAATGTTAACGGATTTTCTCAAGAGCTTGAATATTGCCTCAATTAGGAAGATACCATATATCATCATATGTGATAATGAATTTATAAGAAATAAATATGGCACTAGTGTCTTAAGTTAGTATTCAGAACTAGTAATAGAACTAGTAGCACGTTTGTTATCTTTCTTAGGATTATTAGACTTCTGCTAATATTTTATATAATGATTACGTAGAAGACTACCCTAAGTATCACCTTAGATGCTGAGTTATTGTATTCTAATTTTAGCTGAAATTATGGAATAGTGCTAGCAAATAAATTCAGCTCTCATTGGGTATCTCTTATATTTCTACATTTATTCCGATCTTTTATACTCTTTTTCGTACAGACATGATCTGTCCTAGTTGTCCTGGTTATTTTGGAAACTAAGACGGGAACTAGAACAGATTCTGATATGGGAGAAAAACTTTTTTCTTTGTTTTAACTTGTTCTTTTTATACTTGTCTTAGTTGTTCTAGTAAAAATAAAAATTTTAAAAATTTAAAAAAAAATCATAATCCATCTATGGTATATGTATAATATATGTATGCTATATGTATACTATATACCGGTATATTTATAGATAAAAAAAAAAGAAAAGAAGTCCAAAATTTACTAGGACAACCAAGACAACTAGGACAGACTATTTCTTTCCCTTTCATTTGTCTTAAAATTACCATTTAGCTATATTTCATCCGTCCTAGAAAATTCTGACA